ACACTGTGTCAGTAATTTACGGCGGCGATTAGATGGTAGAGAGGGAGAAATATGGGTACGATTACCTACTACGACTGCCACTACGAGTTACGACTACGAAACTGAGTAGCTCACTGCCCATCGGTCATTTCATAATTTGATTTGAATGCGGCCAATCGGGCCAACGAGTCATAGGAAAGAGATAGTGCCGYACTACTGTTCTTACTTCTTAGAGTGGCACAATAAAAAAARTATAAATATAAATATTGTTTTCCCAATTAAGCTCAAATKAAGGGTATTAAAATAATAACTTAGTTTTCAATAGTAGTTTTATAATATTAWATCTCTAACATTGTCTTTATGTACGACGACTACGACAGTATAACGTGTTGTGAACTGTATTTTAATATTTTATACAATAAATAACAATGCAAAAAATCAAAATCCGTTGTAGGCGCACCGCGTGGCAGTACAATGTTGTGTGCAAGCGTATTGGAACTTGGAAGGATATTATAACTTCCAAATTTTTTTTTTTTTTTTGCAGCATCATTCTTAACTTGTCGGAATACGTATGATTAAAAAAACAATGGGTATCTAAAGTGAATTTGTTCCCTAATTTRTACTAATAACATCATAAAATCAAAAATTAAATTCATCACAAAATTATTGAATAATAGTGATTACCAACGGGCCACTCCACCTTTGGGCTTTATACCGGAAAAAAAATAATGTTGAAATTAATTTTTATGTAAGAATTTACTTTCTATCATTTATAAATTAAAAAAAGAGTCTAATTAGGCCGTGTCAAACATTTGTCTCAAAATCTAAACCCTGCAAATTACCATTGGTAAACTTCAGTTACTATTTATTGCCTTATTGGTTATTACCAGGGTTCGGATTTTATAGCATCAAAAATCCTAAAATATGCGCTATAATATGACCAAAAAAAACCATAAAATATGCTCTATAAATATTCCCTAAAAAAATCAAAAATAGCAATAAATAAAAATAAATACAAATCAAAATTTTATTCAATTTATCATATATCTTTATTAAATCAATATATTTATAAAAAAAAACTAAAATCTCCGTATGCAGTTTAAAAAAATGTGTATGTACATGATTAACTATTGATACCTTGAATTATGACATCGTTTGTACGCAACTATTCAAAATTATCTGAGTAAATAAGAATAAAATTTCAATTCTTTTTGATTCGCATTAATGATTACCATTTGCCACGAGATTTATGAAAAATATAAAATAAAGCATTGAATTAAGAATATTAGCAAAACATGGCACCAAAACTTTAAAAGTAGCACTAA